CTCTGTAGATGTACCGTGTACCGTTCCAAACCTGGATCCGTTTACTCGCCTCACTGCTGCCACCGTGAAAAGACGGTGGACGCCCAGGTCGACGACGCGGGGGCGGTTCGAACCCGCGCCATGCAGCCAGTGAATGTCTCCTTTCTCAGCCACGTGTCGCGGCGCCGTCTGTCGTCTCAGCCAATCAGAAGACCGATTGTGGTCGGACACCCAGCTTCTTTATTATATAGGATAGCAGCCCGTTCAAAGAGAAGAGCTTGATATCTGAGAATTGGTGATGATAGACGCCGACCAGGTGCCTCAAGGCGCTTCCTAGTCCCAGTCAAAGGCGACCTTGGTTTCATGGAAAGTTATATGTGCGTACTTGATTCGACGCAGAGTCGCAAAGATATTAGTAGATACGATGCAGGTCATGCGAGACTTGAACGAGGTGCCGTACGCAAAGAGACACCGCATGTTTTGCTGTTAGTGCACGAAGCTTGGTGAGCAGCCGAGAATCCACTCATCATAGAATATTTCGTGTACGTGGGAGGCTCGGTATTAACGCAGACACAGGAGAAAAGTGTAGCATCAAGCGATATGGAGTACAAGCGGGAGAATAGGCAATGCTTGACAGTTATCTGCTCGGCCCAGTCAAACGCGCCCTCCTTTGCCTATGCCCCAACACGGGCTGACTGGTGTCCGGCAGCCCATCGCCTCGCGCCAATAAGGAGTGCGCACGACAATCCGCAGATGAGGAAAGCCGGCTAACCCACGTGTAAGTTTGGACTTTCTTCTCTTCCTCGGTACGGCCGGGCTGCCTGGAGTGAAGAGGTGGTTCTCGGCATCGAGCACAGGACGGCATTTGGCACCCGTCTGCCGAGAGACGGTGAGACGGTTGGCGTCGACGAGGGCCAGAGGCGAAAGGCTGATAGTAGAAAATTCATGGCCCTCTGGAGTAGGAAAGAGTTTGGTGTTGGGCTTGCGGGCTGTGAGCGAAAGTGCGTTGAAGGTCGCGACAAGGTCGGAGATAGTCGCTGACGCAGGAACGGTCTGAGCGGGAAGAGCGACTTGCGCCCTGCGAGTGACGAACTCAGAGGCGCCGCTCGAAGTCGGTGCTCCAGATGAGCCGGAAGTAGGAGACGGCAAGGCGGCGTGAACTTCGCTCGTTTGAAGATTGTCGCTAATAATGTGGGAAGAAAGGGGCGAGCCGGAAGAGGGTGAGAAGGCGGAAACGTCGCGTCGCAGTTGTTCTAACATCGAGTACATTACACCGGCGTCGGGTGTGGCACTATACACGGAGGGTGACGAGTACACCGAGCCCACGTCAGAACCCACAGGTGAAGGGAAATGGGGCGGAACGTCGGGATCAACGTCGGAGCGCCCGAGGTGTTGATGTTGCGGCAGTAAAGCTTCGTAGTACTCGATAGCGGCGCGTAATTGAGCCATCTCGCTATCCTTGGTTTCGAGGGTGCTTTGAAGAGTCGTCTCCACAGTAATAAGCCACGTCTGTAGTTGTTCGTCCTTCTGCGTCGACAGGAAGCGTTGGGCCTGTGAAGCCCAAGTCAGTCCATATCTCACGAATACACGAGGGTGAATATGGTGCACCTCAAGCTCGTCTTCGAGTTCCTTCACTCGTACGAGGAGCTCAGCCTCTCGCTCACTTTGATGACAGGACATGCTACCGCGGATGTTAAAGGTAGAACTGAGTGCGTTCTCGTCGACTGGCCAGTCTCATATAGCGCTGATTTGGTCCACGACTGGATTGTCCCAGGCCGAATTCTAATATCCAAGAGTATCATGGGACCACGCAAGACTCTGGCCGCCCATTTGGCCTGGGCATGTTTTGAGGATTCAACTGGAGTCATGTGCTTATCAGAGGATGGAATAGCATCGTGGACGTTGAAGGCAACGTTGCTCTCGACGCGGCGGGAGCGCGCCACACGCACGGCTATGACCGGACCGATGCGCCGGAATATACACGGACGGCATTCCTTTCGGTTCTCTCCCCACAGCCAGCATGTTCCCATCCACCACAGCCTCTCATAACTCCTGCGCACACTTTCAGAACTTGCCAACTTAGCCAGAGATGTCTGCTACTTCACCAACTGTATTCCTGCTTCGCGCGTCGACGTCAGAACCTGATCGTTACGAGTCTGCTCTACGCGAAGCCTCATTCGTGCCTCAGTCTCTTCCTGTTCTTGAGACTTCGATACTGGTCACCGGGATCAGTGAAATTTTGAGGAGGGGTCCTGACGTGGATGGGGTAATCATCACCAGTCAACGTTCTGCAGAAGCATGGGGCCGAGCCGTTGATGAGGTTCTGGCGGACGGCAGTATGTTCGGCTCCTCACGATGTCCAACCCTTGTCAATTCACATAGTCTTCACAGGTCACGCTTCCCTCAAAAAGAACTGGAGCGATACTCCCTTCTACACGGTCGGACCATCTACAGCTGCAGTCCTCACATCCCTCGTCGGACTCAACCCTTCCCCTGCTCGCGCATCTTTATGTCCATCAGATGTTCGCGGTTCAGAGAGCGGCACTTCAGAGAAGCTGGCTCACTATGTTGTGTCTGATCAAGATGGGGGCGCTCATTTGCTCTACCTCACTGGCGATAAGAATCGCGATACGCTGGCCAAGATTATCGAAGAAGACGGCGGTGGCAGAATAACATTGTTGGAGAAACAGGTGTATGAGACGCACGGCATAGCACTCGATACATTCGAGATCAACCTTGCCGCAAGAATAGACGACATAGTTGGTACGTTTCGATTCTATGCGGCGACTCGCAGCTCCTTACGAAAGCGGCATAGGTGCCCCTTGGATCGTGTTCTTCGCCCCTTCGTCAGCCAAACATGTTCTCCCCACACTCACCAAGCACTTCTACCTGACTCGCCATGATGAAGTCACAACGCTTGCCTTGGGCCTACCTCAAGCTCGAGTCGCCGCCATAGGTCCCACGACAGCCGACTTCTTGCGCGGAGAATGTGGTCTTGTAGTCGACGCTGTTCCCTCAAAGCCCTCGGCAGAAGCGCTAGCGCGAAGTCTGAGAGAGAGGTGTGGCTGATTGAATCATTCCTGTCTCTGATCATGGTCTGGTTGCATGTACGAACACGAGAGTATCACGTACAATCAATGCCAGTCGGTCTACAACATCATTGAATTCAAATCATGTTTCTGGGTATCCGCGTGCAAAGACAGCTGCACAGTAAAGGTACATTGGTAATTTATCCCGTATCTGATTAAGAATTGAACCGCTCGTGAAACTCACTCGCGAGAATACTCCGTCGCTTTGACCCGCGCTCGTACACCCACAACCGCCCATCCAAGTACACAACGCTCAAACGCTCTCCCTTTCGAGCATGCTTTAGCACCGTCGACCTCAAGTGCCTCAAAAGTCTCGCCAGCTTGCGCATATTGGCGTCAACGCGCGGATGCCCAGCGAGCAACGCCTTCTGGTCCACCGCATGGTCCTCTACGACGTAGAAGTCGCCCTCGGCGTGGATTCCCGTGCACAGGTGCGATGCACCAGACAACAGAACCTGCTCCGCGACGAAGCCCCATTTGAAGTGTGGCCATGTCTGGTGCGAGTAGTCGGGGTTCTTGTATCCATTCATGGTCTTGATCTCGACGATGGCGTCTTGTGGCACGACCTCCCCGGCACGGACGATGTAGGGTGAGTGTTTTGTGGGTTTGGCGGGTTTGGGAGGCGGGTCGGGAGAACTGAATGGCGAGCCGATACGCGCATCTGTCTCGGATCGTACAACTAACTTCAGCCCACTGAATGTCTGGCAACAGTATATTGGTCAGCGTCCGGAGATACTGGTGCAGAGGAATGTATACGCACATATTGCACGATACGATGGTGGCCCTTGCTCTTCTCGCATCCGGGTCCTGCATCCGTAGTCTCCAGCGCAAACCCCGCTCCATACAGCGGGACCTCCTTAAACCTAAACTCGGTCCAGACCTCATCGAACAAGATGGTGTTCTTGCCAATCACTTCGAAATCAATGCGAAAGTGGTCCTGTTGTGTCGGATTGCCCCGGTCGATCCATCGGTACAATTGACGCAGCGCGCGCCGATTCGTGATGATGTCGATGGAAGGCCAGTCCATGGAGGTCTCCATGGCGTCGATGGCCGCAAACAAGGGCTCAAATGAGGCGGAGATGAACTTGTATTCTTTGGGTCCTGCTACTAGTTCCCGTGTGTCTGGGGAGATTTGGAACGGCACAGCGGGTGGATTCCATATACGGGGAGAACCTGCACGACTTCATGAATGTAGCTTCGAATATATGGATGGAAGGAATGCGTACCGGGCACGACAATATGTTTCTCATCGATGAAGTCGTAAGACGCCAAGTAGCGAAGCCCCGTAATCAGGCTCCTCCCGCTCTGGCTTGACTCTACCGGGAACGCCTTATGCAGTATAACCTCGATAGGTCTCTTGCCTAGGCCTGAGAGGAGATTCTTCCCTCTTCGTTTGGTGGCGAGTGCATCATCCGTCAATGTACCCTTCGGTGACGCTTGCTATTGGCCATCGCTTCAGAATGGCATGCGAGATGGCTACACGACGCAAGGAGGGTATGGTACCGGTGTTCCGGTTAGGCTTCGCCGAATGCACGTCAAACGAGATGATAGGGCAAGAGGTATATTTGAACGGGTAGATAGGGCAGTCAACATGCCATACGAGTTGGTGGTTCGCTCTAGATCCGGAATCGCGCAGGCGCATGAACTTCGATGCATGTGACATTTCTCACGCAAGCAGTATCGGGGTCTTTATGCATGTACATTTCCCGGCAGCGTGTCTACAGTACGGTCGCAAGCTCAGGCGCTGAATCGAGCAGTGAACTCCTCTGCGAGCGCAATACGCCGCGAGGTGCGCTCATAAAGCCGCAGCTGCCCCGACTGACAGACGATGCTCAGCGGCGCTTTCGCCTCCCTCCCACGCGCAAGCACTCTCTCGCGTATGACCCCCAGTAGGCTCCCCAATCTCCGCATGCAATTCGCCACTCGCGGTCGCTCAGCCAGCATATTCGTTTTGTCGACTTCATGCTCTTCAACAACGTAGAAGTTACCGTCGACGTGCATCCCCGTGTGAAGCCGCTCTGTTCCGGAGAGTAGCAGTTGGGCAGCGACGTCGGTCCACTTATTGGAAGGCCATGTTTGTCGAAGGCCTCCCGTCCCTGTTTTGCCTTTGGTGGTCTTGATCTCGACTATGGCATCTTGAGCAGGAATCGCACCGGCGCGGAGGATGTAGGGTGAGTTGCGGTTAGGCTTATAGGGTTGCTCTGTGGCTTGTGTGGACGATGTCGCCCCACTAGGCATGTCGACTCGCGCGTCGCACTCGAAGCGCACAACCAGGTTAAGTCCACCAAAGTTCTACGAGAATTAGCGTAAGCATTGTAATCTACAGTAGATAAGATTGAAGGCGGACACTCACATATCGTACAATGCGATGATGACCTTTGCTGGCCTCGCACCCGGGCACAGCGTCTGTCGTCTCAACCTCAAACCTGGCTCCGAACCCGGGGTGCTTATCATCGAATTGGAACGTCCTCGCGACTTCGCTGAACAGCATTGTCCGATCTCCAAACAAGTCTACGTCGATCCGGAAGTTATCTCGTGGCTTGGAATTGGCACCGTCGAGCCAGCGATACAGATGGCGCAGAGCGCGGCGATTGGTGACGAGATCGACCTCGGGCCACTTCACGTCCGTGCCCACAGCATCGATGGAGGCAAAGACGGACTCGAACATCGGTGAGCCGAGCTTATATTCGTTACGCTCAGTGGCTAGAGCGCGGGTGTCTGGCGCAACGCTAAACGGTGCCGTAGGGGGGCTCCATACTGGCGGCGAGCCTGGACGATTGCTACAGTCAATATACGGATCGTGATCGAGCCTAGCAACGAAAGACGTACCAGGGACGATGATAGTGGTTTTGTTCACGACATCGTACGAGCCTACGTAGCGAACATCTGTGATGAGATGCTCAGCTCCACGAGACGCGCCGCCAGGCAAGGCAGGAGCTGTGAGCGCCTCGAGAGGAGCGCCAACCAACCCAGCGAGCAACTTTTTGTCTTTCCCGCGGGACATGGGGGAAGAATGGACTAAATAGTCGCAGCAGAGCCGTGCTTGATATATGGCTGTCAGTTGAAAAGGCGCCCAGGGCCTCGAGTTGTAGGAGAACATTCCTGTAGAACACCGAGTGACTTCGCTGTCCGAAGTTCAGAGCGCCTGCAGGGCGATACTGAGCACGTGAGATATGAGACCAGCGAACTTGATTGCGACTGAACGAGCATCGAACGGGCTGGGTCAAGTGATAATTTGAATGCACCAGTGCGACAGCGATCTTGCTGCCTTCACTATTCGCACTGCTGTAGGAAGGCCCCTTACACGCAGAAGTTGCAGATTGAGATCATCATCCATACTTTTACCGCACCGCGGTACAACACAATTCTATATCTGCCGCACCGCCCTCCACCGACAACAGCAATACATCACATCTAGTGGTGGTGCTCCTCAACCTCATCCGCCTCGAGCTGCTCGAGGAATGCCTCCGCGCCAGCGCCAACGGGCTCAGCAGTGCCGGTCGCCTTGGTGGCGGCGGCAGCCTTGACGGGGTCGGCAGCGTCGTAGGCCGAGAGCTCGGATGCGAGGTCGGTGGGGAGTGCCGGAGGAGTGGGCTGGGAGGGCGTCGAGAACTGCTTGACGGCACCAACGTGCGCATCTTTGGCCTGGACACAGTGTCAGTATTCGCGCCACATTTGGTGTTGGATGTCAAGATGGGAGAACGAGCGATAGTTTCGGGGTAATGTAGGGCAGCCAAGCACGAATGTTCGGAAGAACATATTGGACCCGTAGGCGGATGGTGTATGGGATATGGAATACGACATACAGCAGGAGGCGCCTTGTAACCCTTGAGCTCCTTAATGTAAAGGTCCTGGACAAGGTCTATATAATGTGCTGTCAATATCACGCGCCGAACATTATTCTGGCAAAAACGCACCGCGACGGGCAACGGCGCTGGTCGCGAAGGTGCGCTGCGAGCGCGGGATAGAGCGGGCCTGTATATGATATATTTCAGCATCATCCAAAGCTATTTGGCGCGGAAAGGTTGGCAACGCACGGCCTGGCGGAGGATGGAGGTCGACATGAGGGTGGAAGGTGAGTTACGTGCGGATGTTGCCGGCTCGTTCAACCTCGGAACACCGGGTGCATTTCCACTTGACAGATCTTCCGTACATTTCGTTGGGCACAACATATCGTGCACCAGACCTCAATATATTCCTACGTTGTCAAGCCCAGTGTGAACACCTGACAGGCCTGTGAAAGGCGTAGAGCGGCCAGAGGCGGCCAACGGGCACAACCGGAGGCCGGGACGGGCCGAGTCCCAGCGTCATCCATAAACCAGCCCCCGCGCGTCTCTTGTCCAACCTCCACCAAACCACCACTCAGACTCACTCAATAAATCATGTTCGCTCGTATCGCTGCTCGTGCCCCTGAGCTCCGTACTATTGCTCGCCGCGCTTACTCTACCGGCCGCTCGGAGGGTTCCGTCGCTGAGAGCAAGGGATTCAGGTGCGTGAATTGTGCGTGGCGCTGAGACGGATGACTGATTATTGCTATAGTAAGAAGGAGAAGGCTGTTGAGGGTACGCTTCTTGACATTCATGTTATATACCATGTACTCATAAGTTATGACAGACCAGTACGCACGCAAGCACGAGGCGGAGCAACTCAAGAAGATCCGCGCCCAGGTATGTATTCTTACCTTCGCGCACCCTACTTAACTGCATCTCAACCTTGCGTAGATCGAGCAGAAGCAGAAGGAGATTGTACGTGCTCAATAATGTTCTATCTACAACACATGGCTGACGATCATCCGTTAGGCTGAGCTCGAGAAGGCCGCACAAGAGACTAAGAGCTCATAAGCCCGCTCACGGACTCCGCGTACAAGAGTGGAATGCCCAACCCCATGATTTCTGTCGCAATGTTCCGGTCTCGATAATGTAATGCCATAGCCCTGCAATGAACATCAACTTCATTAATGTCGCGATGCTGTGTCCGGGAGCGCCACCCACCTGAGTAATCACCTCTCCACAAATGCTGCTCCTGTCACCAAGAGTCGCACGTCAACTCTCGAGCCCTGCTAACTTACAACTTTCCGATCCTGTGTTGACCATCTTGGGTGTTACGAGCCCGCCCGGACTCTGATGGTCACGACGTGAAAGCTCTTGAAGATTCGTATCGCACAGAAAGTCCAGTGCGCCGAGCAGGCGCGTCGCGGGAGCACCAGGCCTCGTAGAGGTTACTCGCGTGCCTCTCATGATCTCTGAAGTCTCGTCTACTGCTTGCGGTTGGACCACATACTTCAAGCTTCAAGACATCCCTCTTTACTGGGTCGCAATCAGGGTCGCGCACTTCTGTACGACGGCCAGATCGTCTCAAGATGAATGACCAATAACGTCTCCATCCGCGCTTAGCGCTTGACGTCTTCGCGAGATGCTGCTGATGATCGCTCGCTCAAAATCTATATCAGCTGGTTCTCAAGCGCCGCATCCTGGAGTTCCTTTTTCGGACGCCATTTCCACAGCCTAATACCCTCGCAGCAGTCCACGCCACCCGACGCCTCATGAAGACGGTGTTTCCTCTCGCCCTCAATCGTCGCCCGACCTTGTTCGTCGGCGACAGAATGTTGGTCCAGTGCCAGCTGCCTCGCCTACTTGTCGGTGCGCGATGAAAGTCAGACGTGGAACGATCATATCTCTTCATCCTCCGCTCGCTCATCAACTCCATCGTTGCTATGTGCCTCATGCGAGCCACAATCATTCAGCAGGGCGTCGGTCTACGGCAAATCTTGCGGAATAGCGCTCCTTGAACTGTAGTCCAATGTTGACGCCGTGCTCCCGTACACCCCACAATGACCTCGTGACAATAACAACAAGCTGGTTTGATATAGAGAGCGTATATAGAACGTATGTGGGGTAGCGAGCTATAAACATCGAGGGTTCGACGTAGAGACTGTACGGATGATATGTGATGCAAATAAAGAACGGAGATGGCGGCGCGGTAGCCGCTAATAGAGATGTGTATGCTGTGACCCGAAGAACAATATGCGAGGGATGTACAGGTGGAAGAGGGGTATGGATATGACTACGGAACAGGAAGGCACGGCACGGCGAACCCAGACGCAAAATCGAGAGACATCACAAAGCAGTCCGACATCGGATGGAAGCGTCCTACAGCTAGAGCTACTAGCCGCTGAACCCGGGTGGACCCACGCGAAGCGGCTCGGTATACTTGTCATACCAAGCAATCGTCTCCTTGTCTTGACGCCGACCTTCTCGCTCGGTCGCGAGCTCGTTGCGGCTCTGCTTTGCCTCGGCCTGAGCGCTTGCCACCGCCGTATCCTTCGCCTGCCGCTCGGCCTGCAGCTCGGCGGCAGCGCGCTGGCGATCTTCGAGACGGCCGCGTTTCTCGTCTTCATAGTCGGCGGCCACGACAGCAAGGAGGGTGCCTATCGCATATATGAGCACCGCACATGCAATAAGTGGGCATGACACACGTACGGTTGTTCAGAGGCGTCGGAACTGGTAGCTTGTGGCGCGCAAGAAAAGCTAGCATGTAGGGCGTGTCGTCGACCATAAGGACTTGGATCAAGTCGGACGCCGGACCAACCGCCGGCGGTGGGGCCACCGGCGGAGGTGGCATGGTCACGGTTGGGTTCGCCGCGATTGGGGCCTTGCCGGTCGGTGCTTCGACAGGCGATGGAGCCTTCACCGTCGGAGACGACGCAATTGGAGCCTTCGCGATCGGCGTAAACATAGCCGACAAAGCCCTGGGACCCGTCGGTGTCGGCGCCTTGGCGGGGATCGGCTTCGTCGCCGCCTTAGGAACAACTGGAATCTTCACGACTGGAGGTTTCGCCGTCGAGTCCGCCGAGATTGCAGCCGTCGATGTTGGTGAAGACTTTGACGACCTTGCGTCCGCCTTCCGACGCTTCGCGTCCGCAGGTTCGGGGTTTGGCGAGTCGGGAGTACCGCGCTTCAGCTCGCCGGGTGGGCCGCCTTGACCTGACGGTTGCTTTTGCTTTGCCGACGACGTCGAAGGCGCAGGAGCCGACTTGAGCTGCTTCGTGTAGGCAAGTCTCTTGGCCGCTAAGGCGTCTATTTGCCGCGATTGGTCCCGTATAAGCGTGGAAAGAAGTCGAATTGCATACCTTCTTGCTCGATGCAGATCAACGGTCGCGGAAAATGATCGTTAAGCTTGTGATATTCGTAGTCCTTCTACGTTATCATTCGCATGTTAGCCCAGCGCAAATAGGTCGTGTGCGAGAATAACGCACTGAAGCGCAAAGTAGCGTCCCAGGCGCCGTCAAGGAAAGATGGCCGCCAGGGTGCTCAAATCTGAGTATTTCAACGTTAACTGCGGAGTGAGATGGAACGCAAGCGCGAGTACTCACGCGGCAATGGAGAACCTATGTAGCCGACGTAAGTAGTAGTTCTCAACATCGTGCGGCGCACTTACAGATCAAGCGCAATGAGTCCCTTGCTGTCAAGCGACACCACTTGTTGCAGGTACCTCACCAGCAGCTGAGGAAGGGATCAGCTCCTGGGTTTTTCAAGCGCAAATATGAACAGGATACCTTTCGATGATGGATATCACCGAGTCGGAAAATGTGCACCTGGACGTTGTACAGAGAGTATACTGCGACCGGATGAAAGGCAATTTCCGGGCACTGAGCTTTCGTCGCATACACCGTGCGCTCCAGCATGTCTTGATGGGCCACCATACGTTTGTACCACGCCTCTGCATAGTCGTGCGATCAATCAATGCGCCGCGGGAAGCTGGTATATGCGAAGCGTACCGGACCTCTGCGCGTAGTGCATGACCACAGCCACTTTGAAATCGAAGCGAAGCTTGTTCAGAGCATGCTCTAGGGAAGACATAGCAATGAAGAATAGATAGGAAAGGAACGACTAGAAATGAAGGCGGCGGTGGTCAAATGCGACACGGACTCGTTGCATCTCGCGGTGTTTGCGTATATAAGGGCCAACGGCAAACCTCGGTCCGCAATGGCAGGCGACACCGCACTCGTTCAGGCCGTTCGGGGCCGAAGACACAGGCGTCGACTCGCATTCATGGCTCAGCTGGCACCGATAGGATTGCTATTCAATGTGGCATGCGGCTCTGGACAACTCGGCCATGTTGCACAAGTACTGAGTATCGTTTCCGTGAGCAGAGGAGACCCAACGCGTCAAGATACCCGAGAAACACTCAGCGAGCACGGCGGGGAGCATATGGGGAAGGGGGAGCCGGAAAGCAAGAAAGGAGAGCGAGCGGCCATGAGGCCGGCGAGGAATGGACGCGATGGCTGTCAGGCGAATCCTGACCGTCGCCATCGGAGGATCTGAAAGTGCGAGTGCAGGCGTCAATGCTGGATGAAGGCACGTTCGCAAAGCAACGCGCAAGTAAGAGGGTTGTGAGAGAAACTAAGTAGAGGTCGTGTTGTGACGGTGCTAGCCGTGGGTAGAGAGGCTGGTTGAACTGGCAGCCACTCCGCGTCATTCACGGAATTCCTAGTTCGTTGTCGTACGCGTCGCACATACGATCTTGCCGAGGGCCTACCTGGGCCGACCCAGTTCCAGTGGCAGGCGGCGCGACTGCCAATCGACGTCAATGCTCGCTTCGCCTGTCATAGTAGTAGTACGACGCCGGGAGAGAAGGGGAGGTTTGCGTTGGATGGGCGTCGTCACGAATCGAGTTAATGCCTTCGCTGACAGGAGCCTGACAACTGCTTGACTGGGGGCGCAGATTTGAAATTTGGCACCGAGCGTCGCGCATTGCGTGTCACTATTAGTTTGAATGCAGAGATGGATGTGCGTTCCACGAAATGTCGATGTCAGCGAGTAGGTAGCGTGCCAGAGCGTGCCGAGCGCGCCGGCCGAGCTCACCGGGCCGCATAATAGCTGGCCCATCGTGACAATACAGTCATTGGCCGTCAGCTTGCACACCCCCGCCACGTTGCACAGCCCACCTTCGCAGCCTCGCCGAGTAACATCCATACCACGTACACATTATCTACTCTGGTATAGTGGTTATTAGAGTACTCGTAGTCTGTGTCATTTTTTTCGGAAAAAAATAATGAGATTTGCGTCCAGAAATCATCCATTGAAACTCTCCTGAGCTCCGATAAGCCCATACTTCGGGCTCTATCGGATATATTCACCCGAGATTTTTCATACATACTCTCGTACCATGTAGGGTACCTGATACCAAATTTTGTGGGGAGGGAGTACTGCGAATGACCCTGCTTTGTCCCAACCAGGGTCATAACTGTACTGCGCCTT